TTTAATTGACACACTTACTGATTCATTCCCAGGCTATATGATGCATTTCTTGTATTGTTAGGGTATATGCACTGTCTTAATTCCATTATTTGTACACTTTTTGAAGGAAGTTGTCAGCTACTATTTTTTGTAGTTCATAGGTTGACCTTTACTTCCGGGTCAATTTGCTGTTTTTAGATTTCACCCCTATTAATATTCATACCTCTTGTGTCATGACGTGACATTGTAAGTAAACAAAGTAATATTTTTATCTTTATACATGAGATGTTGAATGAAAAGTAGTATTTAAATTGTATAATTTTATTTGTTTGAAAGTTTTAATAATGGAACTATGTTGCACGAGATATTTTCCGTTTATTGTAAACGAAATCTGTTCTTAGTAGACGAATTTTTAGAGTAAATTGGTTAAACGGATTTTGACGGGGTATAAATATGACGAATCCGTCAATTTTCGTTAGTCTGCAACTTTTGGGTTTTAGAGAAACAAGTGGGGTTAGCATAATTTTTAAGATGTAAGTTTATTTATTCATTTGGAATTTTACTGGGTAAAAACTAATTGAAATTGCTAGGAAATATTTTTAGGGATTTAGATTTGATCACATATTTCTGAATTTGGAAATCTGATCAACTAATTTGTTAATTAGTGTGAATAACTTAAATTAAAGTCACATATTCCGAGTTATCTCTGAATCAGACTTTACAAAAGTTGGGAATTTTATCAATTTATTAATTAATTGCAAGTAATTTAATTAAAGTCACATATTTGGAGTTATCTCTGAATCAGACTTTACAAAAGTACTGTTTGTGAATTTACTTGAATTCTGGTTTTATTTTGGGAGAAATTGAGAAACAAAGGAATTAATTTCATGTTATTTTGAGGAAGCTATTAATTTATTATCTTGTTAAAAGGGACTATTGCACTAAATAAATTGTGGAACTTGAAGCAGACTCTTCATTTTGTTTCTTTGGTACTTAAATAGTACCTGGTGTCAGAAAAAAAAAGAATTAAATAATAAAAGAAATAAATTTAAACTTCAAAATTTGAACTGCACCATCCTGACAGACTCAGGCAGTTCAGAGTGTAGCGTCAGCACGTTACAATATATTTAAATTTTAAAGGAGTTCTAGTTTTGGTTTGCTTATTTCACATGAATTAATAAGAAGGAAGATGACACATTTAATTAAAACTTAAAAGAGTTCTTGTTTTAGTTTGCACATTATTTAGCCCTGCATTCGAAATCGCAAAGAATTAAATCAATGAAAAGGCAACCATCCATGCTAAAAAAATTTTTTTCTTTACAGAAAAGAAGAAAATCTTTGAAAAAGACATTACAAAAGATGCTTTGCTGGTGTGGCAGCTCAACTCTAGAAGTTTAGAAACAATTTGTAAAAGAAAAACAAATGACACTCTTTTTTGTTAATGTCATATTCACGTTTTTGAAAATTTTCATTAATGATTTATAACAAATAAAAGATATTATTTTCTGAAGTTTTTTTTGTTGTACTCGACTTTATACTTTATCTTTATACCAATACCTCGTTTAGCTCATCGTCGATTACCCACGGGTGAACTCGTTTTTTAACTCGTCACCAGTGAGAAAATACGAGATCACCCGTATTCGACGATGCGTTTACCTGGTCAATACAGAGGATTCAAGGTGAATGTGACCGTTCGACAGGGAATGTTTACTCCTTCTAGACACCCGATTTCACCTCTGGCGGTTCCAGGAGGCATGCAGCGTTTTTTGCCCATTCAAGATTGGTATTTTTTACTTGATCTAAGAGATTGATCACTTTTCGTTATCTTCAGCTTTTACATTTTGCAGCTTATCAGGGTGTTACCTATGAATTGATTCCCAACTTGTGCATGTAACATCATTCTTGACGGTTAGTAACGAGAAATCACGATTAATGATGGGTCCCTTTCTGAACTGGCAATCATTTTCCTAATGTTATATAATTGCAGACTTTGAATTTTTTGCGATGTGACTGTTAATATACTAATTAATTAAACTCGAGTTCCCTTCAAAGCAGAAAGTTTGGGGAAAAATGATCTATTTTATCGAACCTATTTTGAAAGCTATGTATACTTATTATGTATTATAGTATATAAGATAAAATACAAAAAGTGTGATGACGTCGGTACCTTTGGACAGTCAAAAATTCCGAATCACAATGTCGTGTCGTCATAATGCGTTGCAGACGCAATTCCTTGATGACGTCACAATATAGCAATAAGCTTCACGACGACTGTGGTTGGCTATTGTAAACAAAGAAATTAAAATCAGGTAAATTCATTCATATTTTGCAAACATAATATATGTTCAAATTGATTCATCATGACAATGTCCCGAATTAACGCTCGTGTGTGTGTATTTTAATTTATGACTTATTTAAAAACTAGAATTAAAGTTTGAGAGCGAAGAGGATGGATTCATTAGCGAAGAGGATGGATTCATCGTATAGAACTAGTACTAGTGCAGGGTTACTGGAAAGAATGAAGTCTGATCCTTTGGTGGTAATTAGGCTGGATAGCTTTAATCTAAATGTACTTGTAACCCTCCTGCAACAAAGGTTTATTTTATCATTTTGTTTAATATTCATTTTCCTTAGGTCCCACCTCCTGGACTATATGATATACTACCATTGTCTCACTTTGGTGACAGAATGGAGAGGTATCACAGAATTGTAAGTATAGTTACGTCGGCGTCCAGCACATTTATTAAGATTGAAATTCACAATATGAAAAAAATAAAAACACTTACTCACACACATACAGAAAAATCATTTGTTGCGGAAATTTAGTCCAAAGAAAACTTTTTTTTTGTTTCAGATGATGGCAAAAACCAGAAAAGAAATAGCTTTGATGGAGATGATCTGTAGCCGCAGGGGGATAGATTTAGAGATGAACAGTGAAGTTTCCACTTACTCAGATAATAAAAGTATTTATAAAAATTTCAAAAATACAATGTAACAATGAAAATAAACAAAGAAGAAAAATACATAGTATTTAATGTTACTGTTTTCCAGAAAACCGTACAGAGAGGACGACAGGCATTTGCTGCCCATTTGGTGAGCAATCATTATGAAAATGCGCGTATTTTTTTTCTTTAGTAAATATTAAGTAGAAGACCTGAAGAATAATTACACTATGTTTTTCAGTATTTGTAAATCATTTCTTTGTTTTGTTAAGGACATGTCAGCCTTGATCTCCCTTAAAGACGGAGCTGTTCAGGAATTGGAGGATATTACCCTGAAACCAATAATAACAACAAAGGTGGATTTTTTGTGTATCAACATTTAATGGGAATGATCTTGTATTACTTGTGATAGTTGGATATTATTGTTATACATTGCAAATGTTCACAACATGCCTATAATATCCATATTTTGTTTCTGTTTCATAGTCACAGGACCTACCGCTCTCTGTTGTTACTACGGATTCTGCGATACCAGAGACAGACAATGCAAAAGTAGAGGTGATGATATTCATTATTTATAAAGCACACATACTAGTATTGAAAACCGTCCAAATTAATTTCTCTTGCAACATCTCTTGTTTTTTAATCATATTTTCATTTTTTTTCTAGGTTGGCATGATGAAAACTAATTGCAGGGACGAACTCGATTTTATCGAAACACCCATGACCAAGAGCAAGCCAAACAAGGCAAGTGATTAAGGAAGTTAATGCATTTATTTTTAAAAAAATGTAAAAGAGTTCTAGTTTTGGTTTGCTTCATACTTTTTTGCCCTGCATTCGAAATAGCAAAAATTAAAATCATGCAATGAAAAGGCAACTATCCATGCTAAAAAAAATTCTTTACAGAAAAGAAGAAAATCTTTGAGAAAGGCATTACAAAAGATGTTTTGCTGGTGCGGCAGCTCAACTCTGGAAGTTTAGAAACAATTTTTAAAAGAAAAATAAACGACATACTTTTTTGTTAATGTCATATTCACTTTTTGAAAATTTCTATTGATGATATTTGTAATAAATAAAATAATATTTTTTTCTGAAAAGATTTTTTTGTACTTGAGTAGTTCACGGGTAATACCCCCCTTTTTTCCTCAAACGTAGCTCTCAAGAACTGTTTCTTGAGGCACCTAATGCTGAGTCGACCATACCAGAGTTCAGAAAGAAAAAAATTAACATGCTTAAACTTATTATTGGTGATTGCGCTTCTTGGGCCGATTTTTAAAAGTAAGGGATATTTTAACTGGACTAATGACTCTCGTGACGTAAATATAAAAAAGTGAATTATGGTTTAAATGTGCATGTAATAAAACTTTAACAATCTATACTGGCCTTTAAATGACATACTTCATGTCCAAAACACACCCTTAAGTGTTTTGTTTCCAAATGAATGTGTACTGTTTGTCAGTCATGAAGTTCTTGAATAATATACATATCAAACCGATTTCAAATGATCTTGGAGGGTTAAAACGAGATACTCATTGGGCATTTGCAGCCTTGATTTTTATCATTTGTTAAATGGAACTCCCTTAATCTAATTTTAATGACGAAATAGTTGTATATCAAAGTTTAAAAAAAAAATCAGTGAATAAAAGACTTTTTGTGATGAACATATTTTCGACTTTTGATAGGATTGGGAATGTGATTCAAATTAGATCTACGCTAACACCCTGCGAAACAAATTGATAGCGAAACACATTCTGAAAAATCGTTTATATTCAATGGGAAAATCCAGTAAAATTCTAATTGGTACAGATTTAGAATTTTTTGAAAGTTACTTTTTTTGCTAGGACTTTATTTTTTGTGAATAATGCTAGACATTATGCTCGTGAAAATTCCATTTTCGCTTATATTTGCATTATGAAAGATTATACACTTAAATTACCGAAGATCGTTGAAAATTTCCCGTAGCTTATAAATACGGAATGTTACAGATATTTGGCCAAATAATTGGTGTTCAATTCTACAATAATCATAATTTATTCCCGCTTCATCTGCAAGTAAAAAAACAAAGCCAAACAAATCATAAAAAAATTCACTTTTGACTTGCTACGCCAATTTATTTTTTAGTCTTTTATTTTATTACATATTCTTAAGATTAAATTCAGTCCTGCAATTGGACTGAAATAAAATCTTAGTGAGTGAAATACAACGATCATATACTAGTATTTGCTGTTTCACTGGAACGAGTATGTATTCAATAAATTAAATACCTTTTTATAATAAATACCCAATATTAACACACTTTCATTATATACATATATTTCAGTGATGAATAAAGAATTTTATCCTTTTGCTGTCTGACTTCAAAGAAGTCCGAAAACTAGCTTTCACATGTAAGTATAGGAACACCTTAATGATTCACATTTTGATCCTGTTGTATGTCATGGTTTTCAGCGTGCAAGACTGGACTTCTGTTTTCATCTGCAGATGTTTCTATAGACTGGAAATGTAATTTGTAAGCAATCTTAAAATAATCAATGGCAACAAAACATCTACTTAAAAACTCCATGAAACAACATAATACCGGTATTAATAAATTTCTCTGTTTGATGTAGAAACGACTCAAAATTAGATCATGGTAGGAAATGCTGGCCCGTAGGATCCGGGGGTGGGTTGGGGGGGGGGGGCACGTGTTCACACTGTTCCCTATATACTCTGTACAATTACACAATACCTTATTAATATATTTTTCCAGTTAGACTTCACATTAGAAAACAAAGCTACGTTACGGTTGTGCCCCCTCAATGATAAGTCTGAGGAAATTACTTCCTACGGACCTGAAAAGATAAATGGATTAGAATATTTTGTTACCATTTCTAATTGGTCATTATTTGTAGACTGGGTCTCCTTGTCCTGACCATCAACATTAAGTTCAACCACAAAGGCTCTGCCATATTTTTTGGAGTGAGGCAAAGCCTCTCGGCGGTGTTTGATTAGGGCGGGTCCCCATTCAATAGTAGGGCTAGCAGCTGCATTAAGCTTCTGAAATGTTATTGTCATATTCAATAAAATCAAGGTTTTAAGTAATATACTCATTAATATTAATATATCATTGTACTTGGTCGTTCATATTTATATCGCCAAGTCAAAGAACATAGTGCAGCGTATACAATGCAAGTGCAACTTATGCTTCAGGTAAACTAATTTTTGTGGATAAATAACCACACATGCTTTTATCGCAGTTTTATCTGGACATCATCTGATGGTTTTACAATGACTACAAGCGTAAATATAGGATGCATCTAAGAATGACATTATGTCACTAAGGACGATTATTATTGCGTCAGAAACTGATGTTTGCCTAAATTTTACTCGTTGCAATATTTAGAATAATTTTGAATTGATATCTGGTGAATTAAAAGCATAATATAGTAGTTTTAATATGCATAACCAAGTAAAACTTTTGCAGCAGGCGAATTATTGAATAAACTTTTGCCCTACAGGAACGAACAATTAAGTAGGTGCTTCTAAGAATTATGAAATTAACAAAGCATATAAAGTATTTCCTTGCTATGAAGGTTTATGTCTAAATAACATTTGAATTGTGGTTTTATACCATTCTTGAATATGTTTCTTTTACAAATAATGGTACGATAATATTCTAATACCTATGGGACAAACACAACTACATGTCTATGTAATATTCCATTGTAAATATATGTGCTTCATGTAGAAAACTATCGATATTTGAAAACTGTTCTTCAGCTAAACCCGATCTGTAAAATACATGTACTTACGGTACCATAATGGGAAATGTTTTAAAAAGAGAGAAGAAATACCTCTGCAAGACCTCCATATTGCTGAGAGACCAAGTATATAGCAGTCCCAACGATGGACACAACTACAGTCAGTGTCATCAACCATCCAATAAGGTCAGCATAGGCATAAAAGTGTTGTTTATTTGCTAGTCCAGTGTAGTCAACCCAGGAAAATATCATTACGACCTAAAGATAATAAATTTACATCACTTTCTAAAAATAAATTTTATCACTAATGTGAGGATCAAAAGATTTGTATTTTATTTCTGTATGTTTACCAAGATTTTGATAACTGTCTAAGAATCTTACTTTTCAATGTAGAAAATGTCTTAATTATTGCTAAAGGTACATATTTTAAAAAAGGATACAGAGTTAAACATTTTTTTTTAAACATAACATTACATTTTATTATCAATAAATGCTACTTAAAACATGAATTATCTTACAGCACAAAACAAGGGAGTGACACAGCACCAACATAACACCCACCAATACTTCAACATGGTAAAAGGAACACAACAACAGAATCGTTTGCCAACCATCAGCAAAAGATCGTCCAGAAATCTGGACACACCTGGTAGAAAGTTTGGAAAATTTGATTTGGCCTTATGAATTTTAACCTGATAGATACATTTCATGCTATGGTATGAATTAAATATAAATAATTGGTGAATCTCTCTTTCTTTCTTTCACTGAATAAAAAAAAGGTTACCGTAAATCCATGCTATGGAAATACACTCAAATATGGCGATAAACAGCACGCCCCATCCACCGGAATATGTGTCCATTATCTCTATCATGTATATACCGCCCTGTAATAGAAAAGTGCCTCTTTCTTTTTAATGCAGTGTTGTGAATAAAAGCAAATTCAGATATTGAAATGCATTAAAGAATTGATAATCGCTCGTTAATCACGACCATCCTGTGATTTCAGAACGTAAAGTTTTATTGTTAAATTATAGGAAAAAATTACATTTGTTGTCATGGTAAGCCCAAGCAAGAACATCACTGTACAAACACCAATAACAGTGAATAACTTGTGGTCCCGGAATTTGAGGATCTTGTCCAGCATTGACGTTACGACCGTCTCAACCAGCACAAACTAATTAAGATATGAGTGAAAAGTTTTAATTTTTAAACATTTGTTAACAAAATGAATATTATAAGTTTGAGAACACAGTTATCTGATTCCTAACCTCACTGTCCACAGCAAGTGTAATTAACATGAGGAAGAATAGAATGGACCAAAGAGGAGCAACCGGAAGTTGTGTAACAGCAAAAGGGTAGACAACAAAAGCCAAAGATGGTCCGCTTGTAGCAACATCCTCTACAGGAACGCCCAACATTTCTGACAGATGTCCCAGATAAGAGAAAATGACAAAACCAGCAAAAATACTGGTTAGACAATTTCCAAAAGCAAGAATCATGGTGTCTCTGAAGATGAAAAGAACATAATTTGTTTTCACAGAGGAAACGCAAAGTCAACATTGTATGTTTGAACTAATATATATAGAATGAAGGGAGCTAAGATGCATATGTAAGAAAAATTCACAATTGAATGACTAAATGAAGGTCATTTGCATTCAAGAGTCTTTGCACTATGAGGCGTCAAGTAGGGGTTCAAAAAATGATATGAAAGATTTCAACATTTTTCAATTCTGCGGAGCTGAATTATGGTACAAATGGGAAAACCTGAGTAATATTTTTAAAACTTTGTTTAAGATGAATTGTATATTTTTGCAGCGATTATATATGTTTGCAGTGATTACATGAGTGTATATATTTACATCCACTGAATATTTTCTCCTTTATTTCGTATGAAAATCGATTGCCGCTTATCAATTAATATTCTTCTATAGTAATTAGATCTGGTTTTTTAAAGCCATCTGTATGACAAAATTTAATGAAGTGTCAAAGGTAAACTGTTTCATGGCTCTTCCATCAATGAAACAACGGATCGATATCAATTAGTACAATATTTTACGGACTTTCACCCCCTTTGGTATATTTATTCATACAGGTTTAGATATCCACGATATTATGACTTTATTTGTTATTTTATGCGAGGATCAACGACTGCAGTCATTGCAGAAAAAAGTTACATAAACACAATTACGCGGGTTAGGTTTTGTATTCTGCAATGTTGCAACCATTCATTATCTGATAACAAACAAACAAACACTTTCTTGTATGTTAAAATAAAATTCATCCAAGAATGATGTTCTATAAAATTATTGTAAGTTGGTGGATAGTTTCCAGCATGTGTGTTTCAATTTCTTTATGTTGCTCTTTTCAAATATTTTCTACTTAAATATAACAAGTTCAATTTAAATTTCTTCCTTTCTTGAATGTTCCAATGTGATAGTTTTAAGTCAGTGATATACATGTACATTTAGAATATTTTTTTCCAAACAAATGAAGATTAACTGTTACCTGATGACATCATTATGGAATTCATTATAACTAGCCAGAGCTATGAGTCCACCCTGGGAAGCTGACAGAGAAAAGAAAATTTGAACGGCGGCGTCTTTCCATACCTAGAAAATTAAAATAATATTAAAGCCATCTGATGTGAAGGTACATGTAAATTCTTATTTGAGTTTTAATTACAATTTTATCTTAGGGAATTTTAACTTTAACTTAAAATGACTAAAAATGGAGGAGAGATCCTTTAAAACACAACTCTGGATAGCATTTTAAATTTTTTTTATTACTTTTTTTAAAACTTCAGAGTGTATTTATATCAATAAAGAACTAATAAATCCAAATATAACAATATTAAATTCTTAAATTATTGTGGTTGCTCATAAAGTTTTTTTTACTTGTGCATCCTTCAGTTTAGACAAATCTGGTGTCATGTAGAAATTAATTCCTTTCTCTTTTCCCTCTAACATTAATCCACGTACAAGCAAAATTATTAGGACCACATAAGGAAACGTAGCCGTGAAGTATACAACCTAAATGAAATATATTTCAGTACTTTCTAATAAAAAAAAAACGTATCTGACAATGTCAAAAATTAAAGTATATCTATATATTTTCAAATAAGATAAAATACTTACTTTACCAGAAGTTTTGATGCTCTTACTGAGGGCCAGTACAACGAAAATAAACGCCAACAAATAACACAGAACTAGCTGCCAGCGGACTTCCCCCAGGTCAAAAAATCCTTCACTATATGCAGAACCTGTCACATAGCGACTATAAAGAAATCAGATTATTGTTTGTTATTTCGACAGAAATTAGCTCATTGTTTGTTATTTTGAAAAAGAACAATTTTTTTTGAAGAGTATACCCTTAAGTCCCCCATAAACTATTTCTCGTACTTTAAGTACTTTACTAAACGTAATGCTTACTCAAAGTACTCCTGAGAGGCAATCACTCTTGGAAAGTAATTTTTAGCCTTAGTTTCATTAAAGAAAGCCCTCACTCCTTCTTTTTTGTTTACAAGATTTTCTACGTAACATATTCCCTGTGTTTCATTCGCAATCCATGGATTAAGTGACTGGTTATTAAAGCGATTCTTTTCACAAGTTTCTGAGGTGGTATCCAAAATCTTCACATTAAAATAGCACACTGTAAAATAGCACACTGCAAAATATTGATGAAGAAATGGAAACAACAATAAGAGTTGTAGAAAAATTTCAGTTGCAAAACGGATTTATTGAATATTGACCTCCATTTCTGTTGAATTTTAAAATAATATTATCATTAGATTGTATCGAATATCGCTATTTTAGATTGTACTCTTAAATTTGATTACTTATTTAAAGGTTTCAAACTGATGTTCAAATTGCCCTGGATCCCTTCAATGTTCTTGATTACATTTTATAAGCCTTACAATTTGTACTCCAGTCCCCACAAGAATTCCAGGGTAAATTACTCCTGAAAGAGTCAAACAAGTAGAAGAGAGCCCAGGCCAAAATCATGTTGTAGTAGATACCAACAAACGAAGACACGCAGTTCATTGCATAACCAACCCCTGAAACATACGGAATACTTGGTTGAGAAATGGCCTAGGAAAAAGAGATGTTGGTTGTATATGTTCATGACACTGTCTTATTTAGCAGTTTTAAACATATCTGACAAACTATATTTTTAAAGAGATAAGTCTATCGATACTACAGTTCTTCACTAGAGTTATGTGTAGGCGCTCTTGAACACAAGAACAAATTGTTTATACTAATGAGTATCGTATCTGTAGCCAGAGCTACATGTATCTGCTAAGAAAAAATCTAAATCCTTATTTGTCAAATGAATTTCAATGTTTAAAATTTACAAAGAAAAATGATACATTTCGATCACTATTTATAAGGTACAATGTATCTTACCCGCAAACATAGGAGAATACTTCCAACAGGTCAGTGGTCCAGAGCTGGAGTACTGACCGAGAGTAAATTCCAGTAACAGGATAGGGATTCCTATCAATGCTAAGGCTATGAAGTAAGGAATAAGAAATGCTCCTACAAGTTAAAAAAGAAACGGCTTAATGTAAAAGGTCTATAACTGAAGATTTATTATTCGACTAATCTCGAGGGACAAATTTGTACATTCAGTTTCTGTGATATTTCTGTTTTTAAGTGGAAATTTCGTCTTTCTTGCTTTAACCAAAAATGCGTATACACATTTTGTGTCCATTTCTAAATGCACTAAAGGGAATTACTCACTACGTACAGCATGTTCTGAACAATTACGTTAAATTATGTAATTATGGGTATACCTCCTCCGTTTCTGTAACACAAATAGGGAAATCTCCACACGTTCCCAAGTCCGACAACATATCCCAGACAGGAAAGCAGGAAGTCCAGTTTGAGTGACCAGTTTCCTCTGCGCTTGTTCTCATCTTCATTTTTATATGTGTCCTATGTTTCGTAAGTTGAAATGAAATCAGTATTGATTTTTTAATGTTGTTAAATTCATATCCTCAATTTTATTTAAAAAAAAATGAAAATGCATCATTTTAACTTTACGTGAAAATTTTATACACATCGCCATGATGAAAATGTTTTTGTTCATACAAAGAGATTTCAACTTTTATTTTTAAAAAGTTCAAACTGTTGATATAAAAAAACCCCCTCTGAATTACATGCTTAAACATGCGCTTTTTGAAAACGGAGATTAAGTGATTATTTAAATACCTTATGATTACACGTACATGTAAATATTCAAAGAATTACTTAGTACCCTTCAGATTTCAGCAATGCTTCACGAACGCGCCTGTACGGTTACATGGAAAGAATATTTTTTTGCGTAATGACTCATGCATAAAGAATATTTCATCTAAGTTTTATTATAAACAAAAGAATAGAAAAAAAAATCAAAGACTCTAGGTTTGTTTTTGGAAAGTAACAATTTCTATTGTGACATCTAAATCTGCAAAACATGGCTAATTTTAAAACGTTAAGCAAGAAAGTATTTTTTCATAGTGTTCAGATATTGTATATTCTGGTTTAAAATCACTTTTGTATAATTTCACCAATTTTTTTTTCCATCAGCATAAATTCGCATATGTTTGAATTCGCACAAATATTATTTATATTAATATGTCTTTTACGTGTATATATGACCTTCCAATCAATAAAGTGATGACTGATTCTTGAATGCACAGCTTAATTAAGAGTGTAAACAATAGTGATAATCACACATACACAATACAATTCAGAAAGTATCGTTAACAGGGGCCTGGTTTTAATTTTGGAACAAGAATCAATGAACAATGACATAAAAGATATTTATGTATCATCTCTCAAAATAGAACGCATGATGACCCAAAAATTTGTCAACAAATGTTTTGTTACATGTATGTATTATGATCTGGAGTGCCAAATTGCAGAGTGTGGGTGTGACAGAGGATACGGGGCCAGACTGGTGTACAAGTTTCGAAAATTTCGGAGAGTTAAAATGGAAGCAGAAATAAAGTTATTGATAACAAATTAAATGCATATGAATGTGCACTTTAAGTGTAGCAAAAACAGATATACATTGTAAATAAAAATAAAAAAAAAAAAAAAGTGGGGATAACCTTCCTCCACTGTCCTGGATATTTCTGCATGATGGAAACATGTTTTTTTTATATGTCATTTTATGTTGCCATTGGATGCATTTGTTCATTAAAAGAATTGTACATTGTTGTCAGTTGAAAAATATTTGATATAAAACTTCTGCTTTTTTGAGGGATGGGAGTGGGGGTGTACCAAGTTTTTTTCCCCTGCACACTTACAAAACCGTCAATGAACTTTTCTTGATTGCTGATACTGTAATTGATTGAATTTCCTTCTAAACTCATCGAAACCGAATAGTTTTAAGTATTTTGTTAATATTTTTAAAGTTTGTGAAATATGATTAGAACTAAGTATATTTAAAATTTAAACAAAAGTGAGAAAAGTAAATTACAGGAAGAAGGAGAAAGAGTGAAATTTGATATAAAAATATACTGAAAACACAAAAAGATAACAAAAACATAACCTTACCGTCTCCATCTGCAAACTGTTGGATGGCTCGGATTCTTTTGAGGGTAGATCGACAGCAAATTCTGTTGTATATTAATGTGTTACGTCTACAAAATCCTGGTAAGAATGTGCACGAAAAATATGATTTTCATCCTTGACACGCTGATTTTGTTCAGTGTACTGCGACCAATTGGCATGTGTACTGCGAACATCCTTTTGATATAATTTGCATGATACTCTCTAACTTTTGTACTAATCACTGAGAAACAAGCTAGAACTAGTTATGTAACTACACATTAAGTGTATGATGCAATGGGTTAGGATAATTTGCCGAGTAGGAAGGAGTGGAAACATGAGGTGGAATCTGTTTTGATTTCATCAAGAACGCAAAAAACAAAGAAATCTACTTTAAAGACATTGTCAAATTTACCATGGATTTTCACCAACATTGACCTTATAGATGGTTGCAGTAGCAACAACAAAACGTTAACTCTGTTTTCATCCAAATCAAGGGTTAAAGTCCTGGTTTGCTCAAAAGTAAGTGGGATAAAATAGTTTACTCTTACCGAAAATTCTTTAAAAATTAAATTAGTTACAAAAATTTACTATGTATAAAGTTTAACCTGAAATAATAGATAACACAATAAGTTTTGAAAATGAATTGCCTCCAAACTACGAAAAGCCTTAAATGTTGGTAGTGAGTATTAAAGAACTAAGTTTAAATTCATTTCTACGAAGTGAAAGCCGGTCAAAATATTGAACAGAGATAAACTAGAAAACCGCTGTCAAAATCTGCATTCTCTGTAATATCTCAGCCATATTTCGTCGAAAATCATTAAAGAAAAACATTAAGTAATATTAATTCTATCTTTTAGTAATTCTCTCATCAGCACAGAGTGATTGTATGTAATTGGAAGCAAATTATTACAATAATACTAATTATCTAGTATTTTTTTTTATACATGTAAAGGACGTTTGATGTCTGTAAATCCACATAATTATGTTCAGTAAAAATTAACAGTTATCTCGATTTATATTTTTATACCAGTTACAAATGTTTAAGGTTACAATTCAAGAGTTAATCAATATAAAATAAAATAGAATATAAATATAAATTAAAATAGAATTTCAATTGTTGGGGGTGGGGGTGGGGTGGAGTTGATAAAAAATATTGCAATAATTAAGTATTAAGTTAACTGCCAATTCAGAAACTGGATACTTTCTAATTTTACAAACATAAGCTATATTAATTTGTGTTTGCAAAATTAATTGTTGAATGTTGAACCAGTGAGTTATGATAGTCATGAGGGGTAAAAAAATATCTTTTGTTATTAGGCTAAACACAAAAGAACTTTACATTGTGTACATCAGTGTTATGAAAATATCGCTTAGCAAGACAATCCAGATGAATGAACGAAGTTTTAATACAATAATGAAACTTAAGAGCATCCTGAAAATCCATGGAATTTTGATCAGCTGAAAATGTGCAATCGCGGAATGTTGACCAGCGAAATAAGTACATCTACAGTAAACGTTTTTTCTAATACAATGCCAAGTAACATATTCTCATATAAAAATATACATCTTTTATAAATTGAGGGTTTTATTATTTCCATTTTGTTGTTGTCTTTTTTCTCTCAGGAAATCAGCAAACTCACTTTCACAGATACATATAGGTACATCTTCTATGATTCACGTTTTATGCTGTTTTCATGCGATGCATCGTGCAAGACAGGACCTCTGTTTTCCTCAGCAGATGTTTCTGTCGACTGGAAATTAGTTTTAAAGCATTACTTTAAAATAATCTATTAACTTTTAATAGGAATTAACCATTTACTTGAAACTTTATAAAACAATATATTCACGAATAAACTTTCACTGACGATGTCATTAATTGGATTCCCCTCCAAAGACACGAGAATCAACAAAAAACGTGTGTCTTACCTAATTATGATAGTTGGTCATTGTTAGTAACCTGAGGTCTTACCAGTCATAGTTAGTCATTGGTAGTTGGATGAGGTTTTACCAATTCTGTTGGTCATTGTTAGTTGGCCGAGGTCTTACCAATTCTAGTTAGTCATTGTTAGCTGGCCGAGATCTTACCAATATTAGCTGGCCATTGTTAGTTGGCTGGAGTATTGCCAATTTCTCGTAGGTCATGGTTAGTTGGCATTTCCAGTTGGGTATTTTGATTAGGCTGAGTGTATAACGAATTCTAATTGTTCATTGTTAGTTGGTTGTGTATCTTACCATTTCTAGATGGTTTTTATTATTTGGCTGAGGTCCTATCATTTCTAGTTAGTCATTATTAATTGGCTGGGCATCTTATTTCTAGTTAGACTTTGCTAATAGGCTGAGTGTCTTACCAACTGTGATTGGTCATTGGTATTAGTTGGCCGAGTTTCTTACAATTTATTGCTTTTCATTGTTAAAAGTCTAACCATTTCTTATTGGCCATTGCTTGTTGGTTGGGCGTCTTACCATTTCTAGCTGGTCATTATTAGTTGGTTGGGTCTCCTTGTCCTGACCATCCACATTAAGTTCAATCACAAAGGCTCGGCCATATTTTTTGGAGTGAGGCAAAGCCTCACGGCGGTGTTTGATAAGGGCCGGTCCCCATTCAACAGTTGGGCTAGCAGCTGCATTCAACTTCTGTGATGTAATTGTAATGTATTGAAAATCGAGATTTGAAGTAATATACCTGTGCATTATTATATCGGTGCATACTATATAACCCTAACCCTGGGTAATAAGGGTGGGATATGTGTGTGGGTATAACATATCTAAAGATTAAGTTTATGTGTAAAAATATTAAGGAAAAATATACTTGTAATTGATTTCAAGCAATCAATATCACACTAAATAAAAATTCTTTTAAGTCAACCTCCACAATACAGATCTGTCATCGACTATCTAATACTAAAATTTTACTGCTGAAGCTGCTACTTTACTTCTATCAGAAAATCTTTTAAACACCTTCTCTAAATCTCGAAAAGTATTTTTTTAAAAATGGTTTTGTTTACTGATAACAATGACAGTCATCGATTGGTAAGAATAGAATTCCTTTAGTAAGATGTTGGTAATTTAAAGAATTTCTGAACCAAGCAAAGTGAAAACTCATTTAGAAAAAGATTCAGTATTCGAGATCTTTCGTACCCAAAAAGCAGATTAACCATGCTATGTAGCATACGTTAGGTACTATTAGATAAAATTTCAATAAAGAAGAATTACCTCTGCAAGACCTCCATATTGCTGAGAGACCAAGTATATAGCAGTACCAACGATGGACACAACTACAGTCAGTGTCATCAACCATCCAATAAGGTCAGCATAAGCATTAAAGTGTTGTTTATTTGCTAGACCAGTGTAGTCCACCCAGGAAAATATCATAATGATCTAAAGGTTTAAAAAATCATGTTTCTAAGAATAAAAATTTCATCTCTTTGAGATAATTAATTTTTAATCACTTTCTAAGGAACTTTGAACAGAACATGTTTTAAAAAATGGCAGAGCTAGATATTGCAATATATATACATGTATTTTTATTTATTACTAAATCACAATACCCATTATCAACTCACAGCACAAAACAGCGGAGTGAAACAGCACCAACAGATCACCCACCAATACTTCAACATGATGAAGGGAACACAACCACAGAAACGTTTGCCAACCATCAGCAAGAGATCATCCAGAAACCTGGACACACCTGGTAGAAAGTTTTGAAAATTTGTGAGAAGATAATTTATCAAAATAGAGCCATTTTGCTTCTTACTAAAAAAATTTGCAACTATAAAAGTTCTGTATATATATTATTTAATATTCTGATTGTTAAAGTTAAAAGGCTTGCTCAAATTTAAATAATTTTGCCTTCTTCGGAGATTGTAGTAAATATATGATACACAAAATAAAAGGTTACCGTAAATCCAAGCTATAGAGATACACTCAAATATTGCAATAAACAACACGCCCCAACCGCCAGCGTATGTGTCCATAATCTCTAGCATATATATACCACCCTGCCACAGAAATACACCTGTTCATTAGCGTTTTCAAAATCACTCGCAAATCATAATCAAACTGCCTTTTTTGAAACATTAAATTTTCTCAAAGTTTTGATTATAAAAAAAAATTGAAAAAAATTACATTTGTTGCCATGGTAAGACCGAGCAGGAACATCACTGTACACACACCAATAACTGAAAATAGCTTGTAGTCCCGGAGTTTGGGAATCTTATCCAGCAGTGACGTCACGACCGTCTCAACCAGCACAAACTAAATAAGGTTTATAAATCAAAGTTTATTATAAAAGAGGTCAAAAAGTAAAACTTTTTTCTTTGAGAGCTCATTTAACTGATTCCTAACCTCGCTGTCCACAGCAAGTGTAAGTAACATGAGGAAGAATAGAATGGACCAAAGAGGAGCAACCGGAAGTTGTGTGACAGCAAAAGGGTAGACAACAAAAGCCAAAGATGGTCCGCTTGTAGCAACCTCTTCTACAGGAACGCCCAACATGTCCGAAAGATGACCCAGATAAGAGAAAATAACAAAACCAGCAAAAATACTGGTTAGACAATTCCCAAAAGCAACAATCAAGGTGTCTCTGAAGAAAAAAAAAGCACAAAATTGTGTTTTGACAGAGATGCACAACCTGTAATTCATTTTAATAATAATTGTATGAACGTACTAAGAATGGAAAAAATATGTATATAAGAAAAACTCACAATTGAATTTGGAGGAAAAAATGCAAGCCATATGTACATTCGAAAAATCTATGCACTATATGACGAGTCAAGTAAAGTCGGTCCAATAAAGATATGAATGATATTTCTCAGAAAATCTTTCGATATCTCTGTATGAATAACAATTTTTTCAGAACTTATTTAATATTCACTTCGTGGATTTAAAAATTTCCTAAAACATTTTCTCAAGAACTTTCACCATATATTTAATTTGAGTACGTAGATCATTTCCAGCATGTGTCTTTGAATTTCTTCGTGTTTTTTTAAAAATACATTTCCCTCTTAAATGTTTCAGAGATATCCATCTAGATTTTCTCATCCTTCTGAGATACCAAATACGCTTATGTCGATGCCACACATATAATTAAAAATATTTTCAAAATCTATTAAAGAATGTAGATTAACTGTTACCTTATGACGTCATTATGGAATTCATTATAGCTAGCCAGAGCTATGAGCCCTCCCTGAGAAGCTGACAGAGAAAAGAAAATTTGAACAGCGGCGTCTTTCCATACCTAGAAAATTATAACAAAATTAACGTAAGCTGGTGTGAAGATACCTGTACCTTCCCCTTTTTGTTTTCACAGCAACATAATTTCATTTTTCAACTATAATTTTATCATAACAAGTTTCTACTAAATAAAAATGAAAGAAATTGGACCAGAATTACTTTTAACTACTCTGAGAGGTATTTTATTCATTTTTAAAAAAAACTATTTTGAGTCACAAAAGAAGCGATAAGATCCAAACATATAAATATTCAATTATTTCGGTTGAACATAAAGTATTGTTCTTTTACTTGTGCATCCTTCAGTTTAGACAAATCTGGTGTCATGTAGAAGTGAATTCCTTTCTCTTTTCCCTCCAACATTAACCCACGAACAAGCAGAATTATTAGGACCACATACGGAAACGTAGCCGTGAAGTATACAACCTAAATTAAATATATTACAGTACTTTGTTCTAAAATAACGTTTCTAGATTTGACAATGTCAAAAATTAAAATATATTCATATTTTAAGAGTATAGAAGATTAGTTACTTACTTTACCAGAAGTTTTGATGCTCTTACTGAGAGCCAATACGACAAAAACAAACGCCAACAAATAACACAGAACCAGCTGCCAGCGGACTTCACCAAGATCAAAGAATCCTTGACTGTAAGCTGAACCCGTCACATAGCGACTGTAAAGAATTTAACTCAGTGTTTGTTATTTTGAAGAAATTTCTATTTAAGACAAATTTATTGTTTCGTATGTCCTTTGTAAAATATATGTTTCTGACTACAAGCTGGAGACACATTATTTGTACTCATTCATTAAGATATTCAAGATATCTTACTCCAGATGTAAATGTCTTTTTCATCTTTTAAGAGGGCTGGGTGGTTGTGGCCATTTTCAGACTATATTGATCTCCTTTAGAAGAAGAGCTCCATATAACGATATACAAAAATGATCAAATTTTAAAACTAAAATGTATGAAATTTTTGTTTGCCAAATGATAGTTGACAGCTTAGGATATCATACCTAAAAAAAATAAGTTATATCTGATGGTTAATTTGTTGACCCCCCAGCCTCCTTAATATCTTGAAAAATGTACAAATGAAAATTGATTTAGAATTACATATATAAAATATGTATATGCATACATGTAATTCATCATTCTCGAAACTGAGCGGCTTATGTTTTCTATTCGATAAACTTACCAAATGTAAAGAATAAAAAAAATATTATGAACATATATATACTAGTATTGCCAAATTCCATAACTTGGTAAACTATTGAATCCTCCATTACCTATGTCTCGTGTTTTCAAAGAAAGATAATGCTTACTCAAAATATTCCTGAGAGGCAATCACTCTTGGAAAGTACTTTTTGGCCTCAGTTTCATTGAAGAAAGCTCTCACTCCTTCTTTTTTATTTACAAGATTTTCTATGTAACATATTCCCTGTGTTTCGTTTGCAATCCATGGATTTAGTGACTGGTTATTAAAGCGATTCTTCTCACAGGTTTCTGAGGTAGTATTCAAAATCTTCACGTTATAATAGCACACTGTAAAACATTGAAGAAACCAAAATATTTAAATTAAAAGATGCAAAAAAATTACTGTTGAAAAATTAATTCGATTTCGGTGAAATCTCTAATGATACATTCTTGTGAGTTTTACATATAGTCGCGATTACGGATCGCATTTTTCATTTTGATGAGTAAATATTCGATACTTTATTTGTTTTCAATATGCCCCTGACGCCCTCCATGTACATAAAGGCTTTTCATTTTATAAAACTTACAATTTGTACTCCAGTCACCACATGAATGCCAGGGTAGATCACTTCTGAAAGAGTCAAATAAGTAGAAGAGAGCCCAGGCCATGATCATGTTGTAGTAAATACCAACAAACGAAGACACGCAGTTCATTGCATAACCAACCCCTGAAACATAGAAAAAAAAATAGAATGACCCAGAAAAAGGGAATTAATGTTGTATTTGTTTATGACATTTTAAAATCCCTATCCATTTAGAAAAAAACAAACTAATGGTATATTTCTTTTGCATGTCAATCGATAAAAACGTATTCACTATAGCTATGTGTTGCTGCTGATTCGTATCACTGGTGCAAAAGTTGCTCTCAGCGACCAGACCAGAAAGTATCGCATCGAGTTTTTCATATCTGCACAAAAATTTCAGATATTTTAAATTAATTTTGATGTTAAAACAATGATTTTCAAGAGAACAAAAATGAAAATGAATCTGTCAATATTGATTAAGTGTCTTACCCGCAAATATAGGAGAATACTTCCAACAGGTCAATGGTCCAGAGCTGGAGTACTGACCAAGGGTAAACTCTAGCATGAGAATAGGAATTCCTATCAAAGCTAACGCTATGAAGTAAGGAATAATGAAGGCTCCTAAAAGTACAAAAAAGAATTTGCAATGTGTGTTTATTATTTTTTCCCTTTTTTTATGCAATGATATATTCTGATCTCACCCCCCCCCCCCCAAGGAATAATTCATATTATTTTTCAGAAACCACTTGGTGAGTGACATGTACACTTTGTATGGATCTTTATTATTGCAGATGCAGTGAGCGTGATAACTGCATGTTCTGAATGATTATTATAAATAATGTACATATATTATGATAATACCTCCACCGTTTCTGTAACACAGGTAGGGAAACCGCCACACGTTCCCCAGTCCCACAGCATATCCCAGACATGACAGGAGAAAGTCAACTTTGAATGACCACTTTCCTCTGCGCTTGTTCTCATCTTCTTTTTTGTACGTGTCCTTTGTTTTTAAATTGATATTCTTATAAAATTTTCATTTTATTAAGATTCATATACTGTATTTAAACATTTTGTAAATTGATTTTCTTTTAAATGCATTATTTTACTTTACATTGAAATTTACCTTTCCCTAAAAATAGCTTGCATCAAAGTGATATTCTTATAACTTGGTAAATATGCAGAAAATGTCATTCCGCGCACTTGTGCATGCACGTGAGTCTTTCCGCGTACTCGTACAAGACAGGTGTGTGCCACGTGCAATCTGACTGGCAATACCGTAAATCTGGAAATTTTTACGTCGATTTATTTTTGCGAATCTGGGTCAAAAAGATGTTGATTAATTTTTACGTTTTAAAATTTTGCGAATTGTCATCGGCGCTAAAAATAAAAAGCGCTAAAAATTTTCATAAACGTTTATGTTACACATGTGCATACAATGAATTACGCATGTACATTCAATCTCCTTTCTTTCGTCGGGGTTTCATTATACACGAGGGTAAGTTTTTCGTTAACAATCTGTTGTGCTAGGGATTCGTTGTTAGATAAAATAACTGCCCTTTCTTTCTTAGAGAAATAATTTAAAAGAGACATACTGCCAGTCAAACCATCGGACGATATTGAATGCATGGATTATCAAGGGTAATTAGCTTGTAGTATAAACAGATTTCTTAAAATGACCACTGCTTACTAACACTGGTTCACCGGGTTAAAAAAAGACACCAGTTGTCAGCAAAATTTTTGTTTACAATTTTTGTTGTTGATTTATTTTTAAGAAAAATATTTTTGAGAATGCAATGCACGCGCAAATTTGCTAAAAATTTATCTACAGTAAAAATTACTCTTTATTGATTTTAACTCACCAAAAGTCACTTCACCTCATATTAAAATTTAAATAAAAAATCTATTGCAATAATGAATTAGGTTCGTCGTAGTTAAGTACGCAAATATAGCGAAAATAAAGACCGTTTTTTGTGTTCTCTCCTTTATTGTACAATGCAGAATATATTGCAAACAGGAATCGGATTGTAATTCTTCAACAGGAATCAATTTACAATGGCCTAAAAATCTATGTCACATGAATCAAAACATAACTCACGATGCTCTAAAAATCATGTCAATAAATGTTTTGCTGTATATCTTTCGCTGTATATGTTTTTAAATTATGATTTGTAGAGCCATAATGCAAAGGAGTGTTGAGGTGTGAGAGGGTTTCAGATGTGCAAGTTTCGAAATGTATGGAAACTGAAAATGATTGTGGAAATGAGGTTCAAGTTACAAATAACATATTAATGCACAGCTCTATTTTTTTTTTTTTTTTTTTTTTTTTTTTTTTTTTGCTTTGCTTTTAAAGAGTAGGAAAAGTTAGCATTAATAAGAAAAAAAAATCAGCTGAAAAATTGAAATTTCATAATTCTTTTTTGTTGCACAATTAGAGAAAATTCATCCCAAAGTATTTTTTATTTCATATCAATTTCTGATAATTTTTGAAAAATCATTTACATCTTGTCTACGAGTTCTGTGTGAAATAAATATCAAAATATTGTTGTCAACTGGATCTCTCTTTGAAAACGCTTCAATTTCCTGTTTGTTGGCACTACAAATACGCATGTTATTTGCATTGAATCCCAACAATTCTTATTATGTATATTTTAAATTTAAACAAAGGCGAGAAAAGTAACTAACGGGAAGAGGAAATAAAGAAGATTGCGACGCGATATAAATTACATTAAGACAACATAAAAAGATTTAAAAAAAAAACAAAAAAAAACTACAACATCTTACCGTCTCCATCTGCAAACTGTTGGATGACCGAGATTCTCTGCCTGTAGATCGGCTATAAATGTCGTAATATATTAATATATTACGTCTACGGAATCCTACAGTCATACACTAATACATGTATTACTGTGTGCACTAAGTTCCTCATCCTTGACACGCTGATTTCTTTTTTCACTGAACTGCAAAAATCTTTTGTGATGTAGTTTGCATTATACGCTCTAACACAATAGCCAGTCTTTGTTATAATCCTCGTGGAATAAGCAATTATGTAACTAAAAAAACAAGTGTGTGGTTAAATGAGCTCGGAATAATTTGCCCAGTGGGATGGAGTAGATTCATGAGGTAGAACCTCTTTCGGATTCATAAAGAACTCGAAAACATCTTTTTAGGACATTGCCAAGTTCATTTCACTTTGGAAAAAATTACAGAACAATTAATATTCATACCAATAAGACGATGACCTTGAGATATGACCTTGAGTTAACCTGAAGCAATTTAGAGCAAAAAATAAGCAGTTTCAAGTGAAACATCGTATACATTTTATTGTACATCCATCAAAACAAGACAGAGCAAAAAGGATGAAAGTGATGCATAACTACAGTGTTTTATGCTCTATGATGTTCAAAGAAATAATAGGAATACTATAAATAAAATTTTGCTTTAAGTTCATTTCAAAAATGTACCCCTTTCGTTTGGAAGCCCAATAATGCAAACCAAAACTCGTACAAAACTACAAATTATAGTCTACTAGTAACTGTGGAATTTTGACAATGAAGGCTCTTGTTGACATGTCAAATAGCCAAAAAAGCAAATTAAATTATAAATATTCTTTTCTGTATTTAAATAGATTTCTTCTCAACATGAATCAATGCGATTAAAATGATTCTCTGAAATTTCTAATATCACAAGCAGAAATACAATTCATGTTTTATTTTTGCTGTTCTTGTAAGGTGTTTGATTATGTTAAGTTCTTGACAAAGCAATTTTTAAAGCGAATAGATAAGAATTAATGGGAGTAAATGAATAAATGACATACAAAGAAAATAAAATCAAACATACACTGTACGGTATTCTTTCATTTTGATTCGGATAAAAAACAATATATTGCTTCAAAACAACCTCATTTACAGTGGTGAATGGGGAATACATGTACGCAATAATGGCTAATGAGGAACATTATGCCACTGATATAGTTTTTTAAAAGTAGAATTTATTTAGTTATAACTGAGAACGAATTTCCTATCCTTGTAAGAAGGAAAAGAGGTCGTTTTATAGTACTTAAATTACATGTGCATCCTGCAGATATTTCAATTTTTTTAATATCGTTGAACATCTTTCTTGGCAATTTTTATCGACTTTTTATTGAGCATGGCAATTCAGCAGCGCAGTAGTAGATCCCAACGTCTACAATCGGAAGTAGTATCTTGATCATGTCTTGATAATCATTAACAACAATACATTCCCTGCGGTTCTACACATGTTGACATTCTGAGTACATTGTGAGAGTGTTTGTATCTTATTCGTATTCATAATTTTAATTTTTCCTGGGTTCATTAAATCATGAAGAAGTTTACATCAAGTACATGTAATATTTTATTTGCACGAAGTTAGACGATGGAACCATTATAATTCATGCAAGCACCTAACATATTATCTTATCTGAAATCACTGATCCTTTCATCTTATTACCTATAGATCACCTGGCTATCTGTATGACTTTGGTTTTATCTAAATTTTCAATCACTACCTAACATTTCAAATCGTCTTCTCGTCATGGTAAATAGATTTTCTCATTCAGAATACTTAGCTCATATGAGTCCTGGCATGGCTGGAGAAAACTTTCTTTTGTGTATATTGGCTTGGTGTAAAATGCGGAGGATGTAGGCTTTAAAATGGAGTGTCACAGATTGCAAGGGGTGTGGCCTCTTATGTTAATTTCAACACGTTTTGTCTATTTTATCTTTCATTCAGTTTAAGACTCTAAAATCTATTTAAATCAAAAGCAAAGCTGTTCCCCTTGTTGACTTGTGAAGGCCATAAATTGTTTCACTTTTTCCTAGAGGTTTCTCATTAACATACTTCATCAGATCACAAAATTGAGGTTAGGCATTAAAAAGATTCATTCAGTCAACTTCAAAGGGATTATCATTTAATTGTTTGGATAAATTGACAAATTCTCACGGAAAATTAGAAATTGTCAACGAGTTGACAGATCTAAGAAGCAAGTGCTAAAATTGCAAGAAAATGCCCCACCTCTTGCATCATCTGACTCAACAGGCTCCACCTCTTGCGCTTTCTGACACTCAATTTTGAAGCCTCCATCCTCCACATTTTACACCAAGCCGTGTATATCTTTATCAATATTCAAGTAAAGTAATAAAGTCATATTTTCAATTTTTATGTCTTGTCATCAAATACCACGAACTGTGAACCCTTAAACATGGTGAAATTCTCTATTTCTTTCCAAGTTTGGCAATACTTGATTGAGAACAAGTGTTCCTAGAAAAAGAACACCTATATTATTACACTGTGCATTTTCATTACTCGACTATATTAATGACTACGCGGATTTTTTTTTCTTATTGGCTTGGCCAGTACTGTTCCCACAAACCATCAAGATTTGCTTACCCACCGTGATGTTATGAATCTGAACATTTTCATGTTTATATTTTTGTGCACTTACCGGTTACGTAATGCCTACGAACAACAAACAAGTACTTTTTGCCTCAGTTTCATTGAAGTACTCCATGACTCCCCCTTTTATTACTTTTCAAGATCCTATATCTAATACAAGACATGTGTTTTATTAGCAGGACCTGCATTTATTCACTGATTATTACATGTACATTAACTCTTCTCGTGTGTTCGTGTTGGTTATCACATCCTTGATATTAAATCAAAAGCTGCTATAAAATTCTTTTGGGGATCTACAAATGAGACTGTACGTGACTAATATTGGCAGGATTAAGCACGATTTTATGTGTTCGTTTGTGAACTCATTTATGATCATAGCTCGTGCCTGACTTTGTAGACGTTTGCGGAACAAGAAGCACAGCAACAAAAGTGTTTAAAATCTGAATAAAAATCAAACAATATTATCGCAAATCTCGCTTGAAAGTATACACTTCGACCGAAATAGCGTTGCGTTGAGTGATGACACTATTGGATTTGACAATTGGAACAATTTGTATCACGGGTTACATTTTATAAAACATGCGTTTTAATTGGTTGAATAGGACCCGCCACTCACGTGTGGTATCCTTTGCCTACATATAGTTGGAAAGCGTCCAACGGCTTAGCCAATAGCCATTTTGATGGTAGAAAACTGATGTTGACTTTTTGTACTAAATAAAAAGGAAACAAACCATAAAATCATATTTCCGCATGTGATATTCCTTTCACATACGGTACATGTATATTGTTCAGTGACAGAAACTGTTTAATCCTACATGTATCTGCCGATTTCCTCTGCAATAAATTGACGGCATTTTCCATTTTCGGTGTTCGTTAAATTGAATAGTTTGTGCGACTTTTCGGAACACTAAAAATCTTTTTCTTTATGTTTTAGTCCCTAGTGAGTAAACATGTGAACTATTACATTGGGTAGGCAAACCCAAGCAAATTGAAAACTCGGGTATTATTGTATTTAGCCTACCCAGCTGATACCAGAGCACTTGTTATTGAAAAAATACTATAGTATATATTCATAGCTGGTAAAACACACGTGAAACATAGGAATTATTAAAAAGTTTACTGTTTTATTGCCACAACTGTCAAAAATACCATGTTTCAAATGTGTGTGTGCTACTGCACACCCATTTTAACGGCCGTCATGGCAAAAAACAAGCGACCAGAAAATTTGAAATCCGTACGTTTTTTTCAGTGCAATTTTTACTGTAACGGCGAATATTATTTATATATTCATTATAAAAAAATATTATTATATATACTTCCATGTTAAAAATAAATAATTTAAAAAAATATTCACCGAATCTAAGTACGTTTAATTTTATTGATGTACTGAAGAAGAAAACGGGGGAAAACGGCTGTGTTTTACAATCTCAGAAATATGCCTCAGAGTACATGTACAGTTGTATGAAGTCAACTCCTGCCAGACCTGGGAAAGATTTTATTTGCAAGACCATTTTACAGTTTACCAACACTCACAATCATTTAATAAGGTGTTGCATCGTCCCACTTATTCACCAAATAAAATACTTCAGCTCTTTCGCCCGTTTTCTATCTTTCTTGGAAACATTCCACGTTTTCCGAAATTCGGCAATACATTTGAGAATGTGGGCGGACCTATAAAAAATGCACCAATCAGATTATTCGTTGGATTTTGCAATGGTATGTCAGTCAGATTCAATTGTATTTCAGTCAGATTCAACAGTGTCGTCACTCAACGCATCACTATTTCGGTCGTAGCGTATACTTTCAAGCAAGATTTGCGATAAGTGTAATTAGTTTTTTTTTTTTTCATTTTTTTATTTACAAAATTTCTGTCCTCTCAAATGCAGTAATCTGTAATGATTCCAATGATAATATCTGGTTTTTTTGGTAAAAATATGTATACACTTTACAAACGTGTGTTTTGTAAACTTTTCCTCCACATTTTTTACTAAACACGTGCGGCACATTTTAAAACACGTTATCTCAATTTTTTTTAAATCGAGTAACGATTCTTGCGAAGTCAATTTTACTTGTCAAGAGAGAGAGAGAGGGGGGGGTGAAATCGATTCTTATAGCGTATACTGAATGTTTTGGAATTTGATGAACATGAATGATAGATTATTTAATGGAAAACAAGCTGGCTTTTGTCATCGTGTCAAAATAATGAAAGTAAAGTGCATTTTTTTTCTAAACATGTTAATGCATTTTGCGTAAAACGTCAACATTTGTTTACTTAAAAATGTGATATTAATCGAACCCAAATTACTTTCATCGTCGCAAGCCACGGGTTTTGTGTCCATTCTATTTCCACAAACCCGTGGCTGTCTCCTACAAATTTCTCACGTTCTCATGAATATTAATAACATACATTCAACCAGTGGAATAACATCTGACGCTTCAAGTCAGAACCAATGAAAATGATCAGTCTATCTTGTATTTTGATGTAACCA